ACACACATAATCACAAAGTTATATATTATATATTATAGCTGTTTTCTATAAATAAAGGATATATCTGACAGATATACGCGTATTTTATTTATAATATTTGAATTTTATTGATTTTAGTTTTTAATTAATGGCTATATAATCTAGTGATCTGATATTATCTGTGCATATAATGATGCAATGCGCGATGCATATATCTATATAACTGTTAAATATATATAACGTATCTCTCACATACATTTATTTTCTTCAAATATAACATCGCAAATAATTTTAGTCTATGGGGAACATTATAGTATTATCATACAATCTTTATGTAAAGATAAATATCCACGAAAAGCGGCGAATGCAGTATCGTATCATATACCAGATAGTTCGTTTGCTTTCCTTGCTCGTTCTTTCCGATCCTAGAGCAGGATGAAGGGCGTGCTCACGATATTATGAAATTTTACGAACTGCAGGCGGACCTGGGGAATCCTCTTGGGGCAGATACGGCGCCATATGCTGCGAATGCGTTCCCATCCGCGTCCTGGGAATGTTTCTGGCGTTATGTTTCCGTATTAACACCTGCTGCGATCCCCCTTCGTCCTCACACTCGCACACACGTCCAGACGTTCTTAGAATGCGAGTCTGAGTTTTCACGCGAATCGTACGTTTTCGAAATCCACCGTGACGGTGGGTGTAGCCTCGACGACCTGAGGAAAACTTCTTTCCGAGATCCCTATTCAGGCGTTTCCCTTTGCAACAACGAGCCGAGTGTAACGTGGATCTTTGGAAACTCTCCAAGATCGTGGACTACATGATCGTTTCGTGAAAATTAAACTATACCGCGCAGATTAGAAAATTTCAAAGAATCATCTTCCACTCGTTTAAGCATCGTATATGTGTCTTTTTATGATAACGTGAATACTTGCATTTAAATTGTAAAATTTGTATCTTAAATGTTGCTTAAATATTTGGTTTGAATTTCGAATGCGTTTAATAGATTTTAGTTATTTTTTTCTTTTTTAAATAATGATAATCGAGATATAAATTTTTCCAGTAATTTTTGAAGGGAAAATGTCACTAATCCATGCGATGCGACAGATTTTATTATCGCTACCGTAAAAAAGTTTAATTACGTGATTCGGATGGACGAAAACGCTGCTGGGATCAAGAGCTAAGCTTAAGCTTTTTTTTCTCTCATCTTTTCACTGTAAACGATGCATACGTTCAAACTCTTGCGCATGGTAGGAAAGGATTAAATCCTTTTCACCTCTCGTTTCAAACGAGCAAAAAATATCTTCGCCACGCGCTAATACCTGCTTGTACGATATTTTGCCCGTTACTGTCCGAATCTAAACCTTTGGTCTTTATCGTGGAAATAAGTAAAATGCAGTTAAGAGACTTATCTACTAAATTATGCGAGACAAATATTGCTACAATACAATTCTCCGTTGTACATTATTTCACCAATACCTTTTGAATTATACTTGAACAATCCATTTTCTAGAAAGATTTAAACGCCGCTTTTCACGGGAGATATATGCAGCCATGATTTTATTGTTAAAATACAAATAATACTTAGAGATATTTGCTGATAAAAAATCATATATATATATATATATATATACATATTATATATAATATTATCTTACAACATGAAAAATAATAACGTGTAAACGCAATTATTTTTTTTTTTTGTTATAACAATTGAAATATATGTATTGTATCTAACAATATTTTTCATATTTTGAAACGGGTTCAATCTCTACAGTTCGTTAATATAACAATTAAAACAATAAATATCGCATGTATGTTAAAACACAAATTTGCATTTCATGTGTTACGGGAGATTTTCATATTTCCAGAAATTCGATTTTACAGTCTTTCAATGCCCGTGAAGCAGCATACGTTCATACGAGAACACATAACCATACCCGGCAAAACGGCGCGCGAGGACTTTTCTTCCCTCCCAACCTTTTTCCCTTTCGCGATTCGCGATCGCGTTACATGGTTCTGGAATCTTTCCAAGGAGCCGGCTCCGTGATTTTTAGAGCGAAGATTGAGGCGAAAAGTGTATGCAAAGTACCTCCGGATTTTTCGAGGTTCTTGGTACGTTTTTGAGCTTCATGTTACTATCTAGATAATATCGACTTGACACGGTCTCCTCGTTGTTACCTGTCGAATTTTTCAAGAATCATATAAGATTTTAAAATGTAAAGAAATTCAAAACGTTTGTTATCACGTTGATAACAAATGCTTTAAATAATGCATGATAGTTGAATACGAAAAAGGAAAAATTTTTTTTCTCGTTCAGGTTAAGGTTTGAGAAAATTCGTAATAATATAAAAATAATTAGTGTTACTGGAAACAATTTTGATTTTACGTTTCAATGATAAAATTTTGATAATTATATTACAAGATCATCAACATACTATGCATCTTATTGATACTATTTTTGCAGTATTAAGTATATTTTTTTTTACTATTATTAATAGTTTAATTGATCTAATTATGGCAAAAAATAATCAGAGATCAGGCGAATAAATACATAATTAAGTAATAAAATAGAGTATTAAAGATATAGAAGTGGAATAAACCTCTATAAATTTTATTGATTCATGGATTATACATTAATCGGAGACATTTATTACCTTATGATGTATATGTTAAGCTTCCAATAATATTGTAATAGGATTAACTAGTATCGAATCCATTTACTTTTAATTTACTTTTCCGACGTTTCTGACTAGTCATTAGATCGTTAATGCAATATAAATTTAAAGATAAAGAAGTTTCTTCTATTTACTGACCGTGTCAAATAAAAAAAAAGGAAACGAAATAATATAAAACTAAATAAAATATAAGAAAATAGCAGTTCGGTACTTGCTGCTAATTTTATATATTTAGTTAACAAATTAAAAAAGGACACAATCTCGACCGTATTATTAAATCTCATGGTATTATTAAATTTTCCGTCATGCCTGCGCCGTTTTACTCGGCTGCAGGTGCTGCTTGCGCTATATTTTATTACATTAAATCATACTGGAGATACAATTACAATTTCTGTCTTTAGAAGGCTTTGCACGTTTCCTCTTATTCAGCGACCTATTTCGAGAACGTCCCTACCATCCGTCTTGGCAAGGCCGACAGTACGAGAAAATTTAATGAACGTGACTAGATCTTATCGAAGCGCGGCGGGAGTATGGCGGAGAAGTCAACTCGGAATTGGGAGAGATTGGCACCGCACCGTCGCCGGTTTATATAAAGCAGACCTTCGCGAAAGTGACTTTTACGAATTTTCGATGCTCGCGCCGAACAGCAATCTAGTATAGTTTGCCTCATTCTTTTACGTCTCCTTCGTTGAATAAGAATTACGTCGCTCTTGTAATTTAATTCGGGATAAATATAAATTGCTGTTATATAGTTCCTGGTACGAACTTTCTTCGTAGCATTGTTTAAGCTTGTAGTTTTTCATCGCAAGTTTTAATAACTTTACGTTTCTCTCTTTTCCTTACGGCTTATAATTTACTACTGATGTCTTAATGAATGGTAAACCGGCGCAGTCTGCGGTTCTACGAAGGTCTGCAAACTAAAAGAAAAACAAAAAAAAAAAGATAGAAGCGGATACAACGAGTCCCAGATGAACGGAGAACCGACAGAGAAAGTTATAAACCGAATTTACCAACACGTCTCTCCTTCTCTCTCTTTACGTAAAGCGTTTATACGCCTCTCGTGAGAATATTTCAGATACTGAACGAATTGCATCGTTAGATTTTAATTACGTATAAGTTACGGGCATTAAAAATTGAGGGCAAAGCGAAAAAAGAAGGAAGGAAAAAAATAAAAAAAGAAACGGGATAAAAATCCTGAGAGTACATTAAAGCATCTCGTGGGTTTCCTAGGAGATTTGATGTAGACAAACGGTCGGATTACTCCTCTCGCGAAGCGAAAAGCGCGGCCGGGTAGAACGGCAAACTATTTTCTTTTTTTTTTTTTTTTTTTTTTTTTTTTTTCTGAGACCCAATAGAAATAAAGAAGATTAACAAGTTATTAATACATTATATTTAAATATAGCTATCTAATTATAGATTCTATTGTTGTGTCTCATCCAAAGATCGTATATAACATTTTGGATTGATAATTGAAAATACTCATTGTTTATTCGTATCGTACATGACGCGACATTTTTTTTTTTTTTTTTTTTTTTTTTTGTAAAGCCGAGCCCGAGCTGCCAGATTAATCAGTTGTTAGCCCAGCCGGGCCAATTGAAAGTTGGCGAAAATTAAAGAGAGCTTCAAGTTCCCGCGTACCGAGCTGATCTCCCGAGGGGTTTGCGATCCACGCGGGCGGTTAAATCGCGTCGCAAAATGAGAAAAGGAGTCAGCCCGGGAAGTTACGCTCTCATACAGCGCCATCGTAAAACCGGCCAGTTCGCAATGGGGCAATGCCGCTCTGTAAATTGCTGCCCTCATATGTTGCGCTTCCTGCTCCCCGCTGCATGGCGATGTAGCGTAAAAAGTCCACCGCGTACCTAAGACTTTAATTTACGTTGCTCGCTGGCAACGATACCACGTTTGAGACTAAAAACTACTATCCTGCGCGCGCGCGCGCGCGCATGCTTTTGGTAAATCTGATTAAACGCGCGACATTGCACTCGCCTCTAAATTGCTCGTCCGAGATGTTAAATGTTGGATTTAATACAATATATTTTTAAATTATAATTATACCTTGTAATAGCTATGTCTGAGAGAAGAATAAACAGCAAAGTCAGTTAATTTTAAAATAATTATTTTGACACTTTAAATATGCGAATATTTTTTTTTGATAAAAGATATTTTTATTTTTATGATTGTGAAACACGTTGCATATGATTACGTCGTTTATTAAACGTGCCATGTTTAAATGATGATATAAAACTATTCTTTTCGCGTTCCGCAATAATCGCTCGCGTCCGATTAGATTTTTCATCGTTACGGAGTCACTAATTGAACCGGTTATCGGGTGGTTCCTTGTTACAGAGGCACCTCGTGGGACGTATCTGCTGATAGATGGCCGCCGGTTGGATCCCGGAAACCAGTTTGTGCCGGTGAAGGAAGGCTCGGAGCTCACTCTCGAGTGCGCGGCCGAGGGTGGAAACCCGCCGCCCGTCTTGGCGTGGGGCATGACCTTGTCTCAGGCCACTTTAGACGGGCCGGAACAACCGCCGGACAACCTCACCGTGTTGCCCTCAACATCCGGCAGACGCAGCGGGGCTCACCTTAAAGTCCTGAGAGGACATCACAATGCTACCATCGTCTGTGTTGCACGTCACATCACACTCATGATACCGATGAACGCCAGTATCCTGCTCGACGTCCAATGTGAGTATCTATCAATAGGATGGAATCATATTGTCGTATATTGGTAGTTATGTTCGAAACAATTGTATTTCAATGAGAAAACAACGAGCGAAATTTACCTTTTGTTTAATTTTTTTTATGAGAGCAATTCTTAAGTAAACTTTAAGTGAAATTTTTTTCTTAAGTAGTTTAAAAATTAACCGAGAAACAAAATTCTGTCGTTTACTTACTCTCTTTTGCGAGAAGTATTTCTCTTAATTTTTAGTTTAAAATATCTCTCTAATTAGACTTCTCAAAAAACTTGCAACAGACCAGTATGCCGGAATATAAGAATAACAAGAAATAATCAGCGCTTATCATACATATGCATGAACTTAAATTACCTTTTGAGATAGAGAACGAACTCGAAATAATTCTGCGGGTCGTTTTTACTCGGCGGACACGAGCCGGTGGGATTTCCACAATATTAGACCTAGTCGCGGGGCTAACATGCCGGAAACGAGCAACGTGTGCCCGCGTCGAGAGAGCGGCAAACAAGCTGTGTGCCCATCGAAACTGAAATGTAAACTTAATTAAGTCTGAAACCAACGGCGCTCGCGACTTGCTTTAAACGAGCCCCCGCGAACCGAGAAGCAGCAGCTCCGCCGCGTTGTATTTGAGGCGCGACGACCGTGTTTTACAGGAATGTCCTGCAGGAAAAGGAGGACGGTAGAGGTTGGAGAGATCTCTCGCGAAAGCGAGAGAGGGGTAGGAGGGGGGAAACGCCGTGTATTATGCGACGCGAGGGTAGTTTATTTTGCGCCCTTGCGCTTCTCTCTTTCGCCACTCTTGCATCCGGCAGTCGAGGTTTAGTCGGAAAGTCTCCCTTCTCGATTTGCCCTTCGCTGCCCCTTCGGCGCAACGCGAGGAGAGAGGGGAAAGAGAGAGAGAGAGAGAGAGAGAGACCCAAGTCGCCGAAAGAAGCTTCTCCAGCCGGTCTCGAGGTAAACTCCGAGGGATTAACTCTGCAGCGCGAACAAAAACCGGTAGAAGCGTGCGAGCGTGCGCTCGCGCCACCCTTCCCTACGCCCTTTTTTACTGCACGTCGCTTCTTCGGGTGTTTAGAGGAGGCTCGTCGAGGCGAGACCGCGAAGATATATCACCTGAAACTGGTTTCCTCCTCCTCCTCCTCTTTTTTTAGTCGGAGAACTTTCCGGACGTCTCGTTTTCGCTCCTGCGAATTGTATAGAGTGGCGCGTATTCGCGAGAAACTCTCGCTCTCGATCAGAATTTTTCCAAATTAAAAATGGATAAGAACTGATTTTTTCCTAATATTCGTTTTCGTAAAGAGACGATGGAAAATATGAAAATAAAAAATCTTTATGATAATTACTTATTTTTTTTAATAATATGTTATATAATAATGCATGAGGATCAATTTTATAATTGAAAAGAAATAACGTTATTATAATATACCTAAATTATCCTCTTGTAATAAAAAACACATTATTTTCATTTATTTTAATGAAACTATATGAATGCCGGTGTTTATTTCCGGAAGAAGACTGTCGCGTCGCGCGGATTATAGTTTGGGAAACCCTGCTTTAGATTATATGCTTAACCGAAGCTGTCCCGCCGTCGCGGACAGTTCTTCATTGTGGATGTAAGGGAAGCCCATTGTGTGCCGACATTATTTCATTCTTTTAATCCCTTCACGCCTGTCCGAGCGCCGCGTCGTCCGGCAGCTCGAGTTCCTCGAGAACTTATTTCACGAGGGAGAAAGTTCGCGAAGAGTCGTTTAACCACCGGAGGAAAAAAGCGACAAGATATACTGAGACACGTGGATTTTCAGCCGGGGATTTTCAAGGACATTGCCGATCGATCGCGTGATTAATGTTATCTTCTCGTAATGAACGATTCTTAATACAAACGATATATAAATAAAGTTTATATATAAATAGATTTTATATTTATCACGCGCGTAAAACATTAGATTTTTCACAAGACATAAGAATATAGGTGTGTGGCACTCAATAATCGATATTTTCGATTCATTTAATCTTTATTGCAATTTTTTCTCTTACATTATTTTTTCTTGCTCGATTTGTGAAAATCTCCGCGTTCCTTATCGAATTTGTGGCGAAACGGGTACTTAATTCCAAAGGCGATACGGGCGCGAGGGCAACCGGGTTGAAACGCCTCGAGGATGCAAATTTTCTAGGCGAACAGCTTGCTGCACGCTCGACATCTTGGAAGGAAGCGAGGATGCGGGTGTCTTACGGGCGATAGTGATATCGTACGGGTCGGCCCGTCTTTCTCTCTCACTCTTTTCGTCGCGAATTTATTCCTAGCCGTACTTTTGCCTGTCGCCCAGAGACAGGACGGAGGAGGTACATTTGTCGGCACCTGAGCGAACAAATTTTCCGGTAGAACGAACGCCAAAGGCACCCGGACAATGTCCTGGAACGCCTTTATGACGCCGGGGCGAGAGAAGGGAAGCCCCATGGGGTGACCCACTTTCCATATCGTTGCGGCGCATCGTCGTTTGTCATTACGCGTAATGTAGGCTATTACCGGTTGTCATCCTGCCGGGTGCGCCCACCCCCGGTCCCATATCGAATAAATGATTTTACTTTTAAATCGCCCCCGTCCCGACGACGACAACGCGATTAATCATCGCGGCTTGCGCTCGTCGTCTCGCACCGAGTTGCACTCGCGGACGACACTCGACCGCTGCTGCTATTTTGCATAAGCGCGATTCTCTCCTTCTCTCTTTCGCCCGAAGGGAGGCTTCGATTTGTACTCGCCAACGACGGCCGGAAAACGCGATCGGATTCGCCATAAATCATGATGGTTTTTGGCGGTAGTCGTTATTTGCAGCTGACCCGAATATGCGCGGCGGCAACTTCCGGGAACGATCCTCTCACCCTGGTGGTGGTTCGGTGGCACGCTATGAATATGTAGCGCGCGTAACCGTAAAATTCTAACCGCGCCTGTGGATACGAGCGAGCGAGGGCGAGCTTCATCTCGGTCTATGTTCTAATCGATCTACGTGGTGTCCGCTCGCTTCGTTAACCCGAGTATTCGCGCTATGAATTACGAACGTATGAACGCGATGCTTTTGAACAAAAACTTATTATTCTCCTGTGCGATAATTATCAAAGTATCTTACAAATTTATTTACCCTAATTTTAAGTCTCTTGGGGCAAATATTCTCGAATCTTCAAACTTATACATTTATTCTGGCTTTTATATACACATTATGAGAACTAGTTATATTGCATTAGAAATGTTTATATCGATTGCTCATATCGTTGAAATAATTTAAACGAAAGACTTCGTATCATAAGTATGTAAAAATATATTATCTTTTTTTTATATATTAAAATATGTCGTTATTGCAAGATGTTTCGGTTTCACTGGTATATTCCTTTTATTTAAAAGGAGAGCATTATTCGCGCGAAGATATCTCACAGATCTCTTGTATTAAGCCGTTATGCTTATGTATATAATAACAAATAATAGCACTTGTATGTATTTGCACTTGAAATACTACAGTACTAATTGGCACTTCGGAAGGATCTCTGGATGGATCCGCTTTGTCGTACGGAAACGTTACTGAATTACCCTCGTTTGTTGAGAATCTAATCGCTCCGAAAGAGCACACAAATGCAATATTATCCTACAAGTTGCGGCGACAAAGCGCTGCTGGCGCAGTCATTCGTAAGCTGATTCCAGCTTTGAAGAAATAAATTCTGTAGATTGTCGGCCACTATGCCAAACAATACAGTGTTCTATCGACGAACAACAAAAATTTTTCGTACACACAAATTACATTTAGAACTTGGGATTATCGGATATACTAACTGGTTCTCGTTTGTCATGAAAAACGAGGATTCAGTTTTGCGTGAAAAAGCTATGTATTGAATTTAGTGCAACTGTTGCTTTTTGATTATTAAATAATAACAAGATGCAGAAATAAAATAACAATAAAAATAGCAATAAAAATAGCTTTGACAATATTTATGATCTGCTTTTTTTTAATAATATAAGTTTTAAAATCATTTTTGGAAGCGTTTTGCGTGCGCGATATCGTTTTAAGTTATCAACCGTACACATAGAGATCGTTGCTTGAACTTTTCTGTTCGTGACTGTTTTTTTTTCTCTTTTATGTAAAAAATATGCAAATAATGTGATCAGCATGCTTATCGTGTTCGAGTTCCAAAACTTTTTTGATCACTCTCAGACGTGGTGTATTTGACGCGCATAACGTTCAAAGAAGGCCACGGACCAACGTTCATTCAAGTTCGCGCGAAGTTCACGATATTGGCATGGTACTTCGGTTAATAAGATGCAAAACACTTGGGAACTAGCCGTCGCCGAAGATGACAGGCGTAAAGATCAATATGCGCTGCAGTCTTGAAATATGGTCTTGTCAGAATGACATAGTATACCTGCAAGGTTTACGATAACGTAATAGTTTCAAAATGTATTAATTCAATTTCCATCGAAAAAAGGACGGCATGTCATACGTTTAAAAAAAGATTTTTAGTTTCTCTAAATTATATTAACAGGCTTTTAGAAATTTGTAGTATATTTTGACATTTAGTGATATATGTGTTTTAAATAAAATATACTTACAATATCGATAAAAAAATGCTCGTATGATCTGAGCGTGACTTAATTAATGTAAAAGTTTAAAATAATCAAGCTTAGCTCTCTTTAACTTTCGCAATCTATATCGATTAATATGCCTAGATAGTTCGTGCTGCGATGTGGCATTTTATTAATTTTGTCGATGGCTGATCAAATTTACTTTCGCAAATTCTTGCTTCCCTTCCGTAAATCCCATTTTATTAAAAATTGTACTCTCTCTTCTCTTTCATATCGCAAAAAAATGTGAATAAATAAATCATGAAATTGAATATCGAAAGCTACAGCATTTTTCCAGCATGCAACAACTGTTTCATCGCACCTGCCAACAATATTTACTATCAACAAACAGCGAGAAATTATTTTACTTGAAATTCCAATCCTCGTCA